GATGCAAGACTTCAAACCTTCTTTGACATGTGAGTTCACAGCGTCGGTTTAATTTATTTACTTTATAAATTTCGCATAAGCTTTGAAAGTATAAGCTTTGTTCGTTAACATAAATTAATTTTACGTATACAATAATAATTTTAGAATTTTTAGAAAAAAAGACAATAACTTTAACAAAAGTATATTAATTACCTGATTTTCCTTTTAAAAAAAAAGAAATTTCTATTGTTCCATTTTTTAAGAACACTGATGTTCTCTACTTATTAACTGTCAGATCTGTATAACTTTTTTAATCTGATGTAACTTTTGACCATATTTAATAAAGATTTGATGGCTAATCAACAAGAAATACTTGTATTTTTTTAAAAATAAAACACCAAAGAAAATCCTAAAAAATTAAAAAAAAAAGTATATTAGCCCGAAATGGATAATTTTTTTAAGTTTTTTTCTTTTTTTGGAGGAAGACAAACTTTTGTTACCACATTATTACAAAATCATTATTTGACAAACTAATTGTATCATTGTACCTTTTGTTTTTACATACAACATACAAAGTCAATTTTTTGTGGAGAACGTTAAGCCTTTGCTCAAAATATATAAAATTCACTTTTTTAGGTAAAAACTGTGCAAAATACACGTTATGAATCTTTTTGAATTTTTGTGAGATTTGTTAAGCAATATAGGTTTTGTATAATTTTTTATTTTATAATAACCTTTTTTAGTTTTTGATATCGTATAATTACTCTAAGGTAGTAAGGTTCATGGAATTTTGGAACGTACAGACAATTATGATTATCAATTATTTTAAAGATATTGTGCAATGGGAGAAAAGATAAAGGAAAGTACTTTGGTGGGAGCATAAGAATACTGCCCTAGACCCACCTAAATGCTAGGAATTAAATATGCTAGATTATTGGATAATGGAACAAATAAGATAGGTCTAATATAAAAAGAAAAATACTTGATTATTAGATAATGGAATAAATAAGGAGATTAATTCATGTTTTCCTCCCTCGTACCGTAGATTAATGGGAATTATTAGTAAAAGTGAGTCCGATAAGTGTTGACTTGGAATAAAATGAATATGTTAGGTGTATAAACACTAATCCGACGAGATATTTATTATTTTTTTAATGTCCACTAACAACGCACTAATGCAGGGTGGACAAAAATGCGGACGGTCGAATCACTGAAGAAGAGGTGAAGGAGGTGAGAATTTGTCTTTTCTTTTGTTTTTTTCTTCTTCTATTTAATAATAAGTGAAAACTAAATAAAAAATATTATATATTTTGGAATTAGTGGGATTTTTTTTATATTATATGACATATGTAGATTTTTTTATGTTAAATTGCAGATTATATCGTTAAGTGCTGGTGCTAACAAGTTGTCAAAAATTCAAGAACGTGCTGAAGAATACGCAGCACTTATCATGGAAGAGCTGGATCCAGACAACCTTGGTTATATTGAGGTTCACATCTTCTTCAGAATGCATTTTATACAAACAGAAAAAAAAAAAAAAAAAAAAAAAAAAATTTTGCAAATTTTTTGCAGGGTTGGGAAAATTAAAAAAAAAAAAAAAAAAAAAAAAAAAAAAAAAAAATTGTGCAACTTTTTTGCAGGGTTGAGTAAATTATTCAACGTGATTGGATAACCGATATATCCAATCCAATTCAAAAATTAAAAATCTATTTAAATTGGATCGAGCTCCTATTTTGAGTGTTAAAATCAAATCAATTGATTCAATCAAATATATAATATATATTTTTAAGTATAATTTTAGATTTTTTTCCTTAATTTTTATTAGTTTTTAAAGTAATGACTATACACCCACTCACACAAAACTATTTTGAAGTCGAAAACCTTGCGTTAGTCGCTCTAGTTTTTACGTGTTTTTCGGATTATGTTTTTCTTTGTTATCAAACATGTTTGTGTCGGCTTGTTCTTAGATTTATTTGTGCTGGCTCATACTCCACTTTGAATTTGTAGTTGATGACTTGATGCTCATATTTTATTGAAATACTTTTTAAAGACGTATTAGAATCTCACATTGGTTGAAAATATTAACATGATCTACTTAATAAGGTGAGAACAATCATTCCTTAACAAGCCGGTTTTGTTAGGTTGAGTTAGGCCCAATATCCTATGATTTCTGTAAAATAGTATCAAAGCAGGCCCAGTTTTGTAATGTTGGGTCCCTTAATATCGACTTATTCGCAGCGGTTTGACATGGTCCACGCTGGTGAGGACAGTCCTCTCCTAACAAGCCGGTTTTGTTAGATTGAGTTATGCCCAATATCCTTTGATTTCTGTAAAAAGACGTGTGCTTAAATTTAGTTTCTATTTAATCCACTTTTCTACAACTAGCGCCTGTTAAGAATAATAAACACAATTTTAAATTGCAAATTACATTATGGGGAAAAAAATATAAATATCCAGTCCAAATCCAATTGGATTAGATTTTGTACATAAATCGGATGGATGGGATATAACATCTTGAAATCTAATATAACATCGGATTGAGTTAGATGAGGAGTATTAGATTGAATTGGAAGCTCACCCCTCTCTGTTTGGAAGAAACTTGGATAAAATTGTCCAGTCCAAAGCTCTCATATGTGTGTATATAAATAATATATATGTATATATATATATACATATATATAGGAAAAATATACCCTTATATATTGGAAAAATATCGAATTG